ATTTTTTTTGTAACATCATCAATGTTTACGTTTTTTTTTTTTTTATTATCAAATTGATTTAAATAGTTTTTTTTTCCTTATCATTCCTCTTATTTTTATAGCAAATTCAACGCGAATGTTATATTTATTCAGCAAATTGACTTATTAATCATAATATATTTACATCAAAAACTTAGCATACAAATTTTAAAGTTAAGTTTTCTAAAGATTATTTGAAAAATAATTCAAATGAAATATGTTAGCTTAATGCAACTTTCAAAATGGTTGCTCGCACTTGTTTTATAGCTAGTAAAAAACTCGAAAAATTTTTTCTGAAAAGTTGCAAAGAAGTCTTATCTCTCTTTACATTCGAACTTGTTAAAAAAAAAAAAGAAAAAGTTTGTTTACTTAAATTATAATGGTTAGCATCTATCTGGAACAGCATCAGACAATTGATGTTAATGTTTCATTTAACGTTCAAAGAAAATAGACATTGCTACAAACTTTTGAAAAACATTGTTGAAATAAACTTTAACCTTTAAAACTGGGCTAGTAAACAAATTTTTCTTCACTTTGTCAAACAATGTTATTCATTTCTTCTTACACTAAAATTATGATTTCACTTTCTTTTTTCGAATTTCAAAATTTCAATATATGAAACAGATGGAAATTTGTTACAATAAATATGTAATTAATTCCGTTATGTTTTAAGCAATGATTTCTGGAAAATTTTCAAATTGGCAAAAACCATACCATAGATTAGAAATCACTTCTAGTTATTAAATTTGAATTATAAGATTTGAAAGAACTTATATTGTTCATAATTAAAGAATATTTCCAATGTAATTTAAATCATTCAAAAGTTACAAATTTTTAGGACGAAATGAAATTCACTTAAATAAAAAAAACGAAGCAATAGAATACTTCTTTAAAATAATTTGTTTATAACAGTGAATTAAAGGTTATAACCCAAGCAAACTTTTCAGACAATAATGTAAATATGTCATCCTGAGAATTGTGGTCTTTATGACAATTAATACTCTCACCTGTTCAAAAAACATTCTTGAACGATGAAATTTAAATATTAATATCAAATTAACATTAACTGATACCGCTTTTTTCCTGCATAAATTTAATATTATGTTTATAATAAGTTTCAATATTAAATTTATGTAAATATGAAATACAGATAACAATGGTAACAATGTTTGCAATAGGATTGGGCATTCAGAATTAAAAAAAGAAAAGATAAAGTACCGAAAGATGAGATTCTTGATTACCACTTAAAGGTACTGTTAATATAATTATTGCTTATTAATTTGCACTCTATCCAAAAAATTTACCTATTGAAATGAAAATATAACGGTAATTAAATTGACAACAATAATAATTAATAATAATAATAATAATAATAATAATAATAATAATAATAATAATAGTGATAATAATAAGTAATAATAATAATGGTAATAATAATAATAATAATAATAACAATAAAATGAATAGCGGAAAAAAACTGTTTTCGAAAATTTTGCAAAATTTAAAAAAAAGGAAGAAGAAAATAGCTTATTGTATTTGATGATTAAACCGAAAATAATAATACCTGCAACTTGCACAGTGTGCAATGACAATAAATCGTATTTTTTTTAAAATTGAATTCATTTCAAATTGAATTTAATCTTATGCAATAATTGGAAGAAATTATAACAAATTCGATATTGGCAATAAAAATTTGCTAATTAAAGAATCAATTGAATTAAACGAATTAAACTGAATTAAATTAAAGAATTTGCCAAATTTGCCAATAATTAAAGAATAAAAAAGAATTATAGAAAGTATTGCCAATATAATGCTTGCAAATAAATTATTGTTTTTACAACTTAAAAGGAAAAAGAAATCGATTTATCATATCAAAAAGAAAAAAAGAAATTAATTTAATATATTAGAAATCATTGTTATCATTTATTACCTTACTTATGATAACTCATATCTTACTTTCTCTCTTCACTTCTCTGATGTCCAATGATTTATATAAACTTCTGATAACTCATATCTTATTTACTCTCTTCACTTCTTCCCTGATGTCAGCAATTGTTTACCCCCAAAGTATGCCAGTGTTTGCTTGGCCCTGATAACATAGATATATATTTTTTTCTTTCTTCAAGTTAAGTTGATATATGATTTAAATATATATGTATATATATATTTTTTTTTGAGATAAGTTTTTTTGAATGGTAAATTACGTCAAAATCACGCTTATAATCTATGATCGATCACGCTTAAAACGACGCTTACAATCTATGATCGATTGAGGTGACAAGGATTATTTTGGACAGTTTTACGACTGTTCTAAGATTTACGTCAACATTACGTGTAAGATAAATAATCGACTGAAGAGTTGTGTCAATGATTAGAATTGATAAATTCATTCGAATGGTAAATCCGTAAAATTGATTTACGCCAATATTACTCATAAGATCTATAATCGTTTGCTATGTTATATAGAATAAATCGAAGTATTGATTATCATCATACTTAACATGAAGTATTGATTATCATCATACTTAACATGAAGTATTGATTATCATCATACTTAACATGAAGTATTGATTATCATCATACTTAACATGAAGTATTGATTAGTGTCATACCTAATAAATCTTGTAAAAGGAATTATTCGTTTATTTTAGCTAAATGATTCATAGATATGACAAAATTCTTACTAATAAGATCGAAAATAATTTTTCAAATTTGCCTTAATATTACAAAATGTGCCATTTCCGGTATTAAATTTTCTGAAGTATAACGATACAGTTTTCAAAATTTTTTAAAGAAACAAAAAAAAAAAAGACTAAGTAATGACACTAATCAATGACACTAATTGAATGGGTTGTTTGCGGCATTGTTTGTTTCTTTTTTGGCATTAATTTCATTTAAATAAGCATACACTATCAAAAATTCGGCTAGTGAAATAAGCCAGAGATAAAATTAAATCTTTTAAAATACATTTGCATTCGATTCAAATATCTGTTCATATATTAATTAATTGTAAAATATTTGAACAAAAAATATATTAGCCGAATTTTTGATAGTGTATGCTTATTTAAATGAAATTAATGCCAAAAAGAAAAATTAATTAAATGATCTTTTATCAAAATAATAGGAAATGAATGAAGAATGGTGAAAGTGATAATATTGATAATCTTCTTAAATGTAATCAATTTTACTAATACTATAATTGAAATAATGATATGGAGAAAGAATATGATAATAATAGATGAAAGTTAAACAAAATAAATGTCATCCTTATAATAATATTTAAATAAAAAAAAAGTCAATAACGATGAAACAATTTTGAATTATAATTATAATCATCATATTTCATAATCATTATCATGAATCCATCAATGAATAAATTAATTTATTATATTTATCCCTTATTCGATTATCATTAATTTCGTACTAATAAAAATAATAAATTAATAATTAAAATTAATTTATGATATAATCATTTCACGAGATTATTGGTAAATTTTGGGAATAATTTTCTTCCAAATTTTGTAAATGTTTATTAAAAATTGATGAATTTAATAAATGATGTATAAATTGCGGAAATTACATTATGAAGTGGAAATGTATAAATGTAACAATGCAGAACTTTCAGCTATTATTTCATTTACAAATAATAATTTTTTTTTTTTAAAAGACAAATAAAGGAGGGAAAAAAAACATATTAGGATAACAATAGTAATACTAAACAAATAAACAATAAGTAAGACTAAAGATTAATATGGATCAGAAGGTTCCTATAAAATGTTTAATTTTTAGGATGGTAAAATTCATCATTTAAAAATTTCTCTTTCATTTCATTCCTTCTTCATCTTCCGTCGTATTTTTAAATTTCGTCAACACTTAAAAGAAGGAAGACGGAAATGAGTGACATTTTCTAATCAACTATTGTTTTATTCATTAAATTCATAGCAGTTGGTCAGTTAACTCGATTACTTATTTATCGTAATTTTAAATTTTTTTTTTTTGTTTAACATTAAAACGAATGAGCAAACTTCATTGATCATTTGGTGAGAACAATTCTCTTCCAGCAATCCATTTCAAACTAATTAATCATATCTTAATGCGATAAATGAGTGATACAAACAAGTCCCATTTTATGTTTTCTCTCCTATTTCATCCATAAATCTTTCCTTTTTTTTCCCCTTTTTCCTTTCCACCATTTCATTCCAATTAATTCCCTTTTTGCTTTTTTTTTTTTTAAAAAAAAAGAAAGGTCAAAGAACAAAATAGTGGAAGATTTTTTTTTTTAAAAAAAAAAATGCACATTTTTAACATTTTTAAAATTTTTTAATGAAATATTTTACGGATTAAAAAAAAAAAAGCTTACATGTTAATAAACATTTTGTTAATTTCCCGTCTTTTTTTTTCCTACTCCTGAAATGATTTTAAATATAAACTAAAAAAAAAAAAGAGAGAAATGTTAAATTAGTATAAGAGAAAGAGAGAAAAAAGAGAGAGAGAGGGAGAAGAAATAAGTAAGCATAAGAAAAATGCATCGTATAGGCTATTTCCTGAAGGTAAAAATAAAAAAAAAAAACAGATGAAATGGAGCAATGTTGTCAGTTTTAAAAATCCTGAAGAGATTAATGAAATTTTATAACAGCCTGACAAACAATCTGTCGAAATATCGTTACTCATTCTTTTCTTTCATCTTTTCTCTCTCCTTTCTATTTCTTTTCCTTTCTCTACCATTCTTTAAACTTTTTCAATTCACTCTCTTTGCAAACACTTTCTCATATCCCATTTATGCATCAATTCCTCGATTGAAATACTCAATTTATACCCACAAATACATATATTAACCTAAGAATACACCCACACATATTATCCAGGAATACGCCCACATATGCATGCTACTCAGGAATACACCCACATATTACCTGGAGATATAGCATATATCACCCAAGGATACACCCACACACATTACCCAGGAATACACCCACATGTGCATGTTAACTCAGGAATACACCCACATATATATACACCCACATGTGTTACCCACGGATACACCCACACGCATATTACCCGGAGATATCCCAAAGCATATATCACCCAAGGATACACTCACACACACTACCGAGGAATACGCCCACATATGCATGTTACTCAGGAATACACCCACATATATTACCCAAAGGTACACCCACACACACATATATTACCTAGGGATCCACCCACAAACGTATATTACCCATGGATATCTCACATACATGTACTAGCAGGATGCACCCACATGCACATATCGATACACCCGCATACACATATTAAGCTGAGATACACCCACATACACATATTGCTAGGGATACACCCACACACACGTATTATCCAGGAATACACCCACACGCATATATAATCCAGGAATACATTCAAATGCACATACTGTACCCATATTCTCATATTTCTTATCCAACGATACACCTGCATGCATACATTAGCCCGATATACCCATGTATATTTGTAATTCTTACCCATCTCTATACATATGCAAATATTACCCACCCACACATTCATATCCAATTATACCTGTATTTAGGTGAATTTTAATAGAATTTCAAAAATTTCAATATTATTGATATGGTAGAATAAGTAATATATGTTGATAAATCGTTGGGTAATTTCAAAAATATATTAAATCAGTTTAAGTAATTCATTTTCTTTTTTTACAAAAATATTTCAACAAAATTTCCTACAATGATTTAATAAAAGCTATCAATCATACATTATTATTATTATAAGGAACATTGTTGTTCGTAAAGCAAACCAATAAAATTTACATTTTTAATCAATCGGTGAAATTTTCCAAAAGTTTTTCTCGAATTTTATAAACTTCGAAATTTTTCAAATTATAAACTTATTGTCGTAACTTCAAGTGTTAATGCAAAATTTATGTTAATTATGAGAAAAATAAATAAATGAGTAAATAAACATGCATAGTTTGTTGTTTGCTGTCTTTCTCTAATAGAAAGAAAATAGACCAAATTAAAAAAAAAAAATTGGAATTAATTGACATGATTTGATATTAGTTAATTTAAATTATAATTTCATTTATGCTTTAAAAAAGAAATTTTCAATTTAGTTTTAATATTGAAATTGTAAGAAGAAAAAAGAAAATATATGATTTCTTCTTTCATCTTTGCTTATTGCTATTGTATTGAAATAAATATCATATTGTAACATATCATATCATATCATGTTAGTTTGTTTGCTTTACGAAAAACTTAATTTTAATTAACTAATCATTTAGTCAGAAAAGAAATTAATCTTATCAATTCATCAATTCCCAATCGTATATTCAACATGTTATTCATCATATCATTTATTTGATATCACGAAATGGATAACTGTTAATAAAATAAGATTAAAATTCATCTATTCTGAAATGAATTTAAGTAAAATAAAATAAAATTGGATAAGGTAGGAAAAACGATAAAAATGAAATAAAATGAGGAGAAGAATGAATTAAAAAATAACAAATAAAAATAAAACTTGAATTTAAGAATTCTTCAATTAAATTTAAAAACGAATGGGGGAAAAAAAAGGTAAAAGAATACAAATTGCTCAAAATCATTTCACTTTAAAAAAAAAAAAAACGAAAATGAAAGAAAAAAAAGGTGAAAAATTTTTGCTTAGTCAAGAAATGCCACTTGTGAAGTAAATAAAAGAATTTCTCACTGCCATAAAGATTCGACTTTCCCTAAATTCCATTTTCTGCAAAATAATTCAATTTTTTTTCACATAAATTATTTTATTTTTCAATCATTAAATTTAATTTTCAACCATTAAAGAATAACATCTCTTCAAAAAAAAAATAAACTCAAAGGGATAAAAT